CTCCGTATGACACACCCTACTGTACAGTCTGTACTCACCTCTGAAGATGTGAATTACACGAAAGCGCTTGGGAACTTCGTGTTTTCTTTTTCCTTGTGGTTATCAGCATATACCTGGATCACGCGCACTTACTGATGGTTACAAGTGTTCCCTGAAGGATGCAGTGATGAGTAGGGAAACACCGTGTAACACTGAAGTCCGTTTATTATGGATGAGAGAAATACAAGTGGTGACTCGCATGTGCCATGCACGGCTCACACAGTCAGACTGAGGCTGCCTTGCCATATGGCAGCCTCGGGGCAATGGTGCCACATAACGTGCAGTGTTGCCACGTGATGATATATATAAATGCTACTCGGCACAGTAGCTTATATACAGGGTTGCTACTCGGCACAGTAGCTTATATACAGGGTTGCTACTCGGCACAGTAGCTTATATACATAACCTACATCTCCCTCCCCCCTCACGCTCATAGTCTTTGTCTTGAGCGGACTTCTTAGTCCTAAGTCGCTCAGAGCGTCGGGGTGCACTGTGGGGCGGATCCTCGTGAGGTGTAGGTGACTCGTCCTCGGTCAGGGGGCCAGCAGCAGGGGGTGGGACTGGCCGGAGGAAGCGGCGGTTCCTCCACCAGACACGGCCGCTCGGCATCCTGACCTTGTAGTCCCGCGACCGGCCGACGCCCATCACTATGCCCACCTTGTCCCAACGTGTCGTCGTTGGGTCCTGGACGCGGACAAGGGCACCAATCTCCAGTGGCTGAAGAGGGCGGGCACGGTCGTCATACCGAGCCTTGGCGTCCTGGGCACGTGTAGCGGCGCGGCAGTCGCAGCTCTCGGCTCTGGTCTGCCAGTCCTTCGCAAAGGCCTTGGTGTGTGCAGGAACACAAGAGCGGAGAGGGTGACCATACAGGATCTGGGCAGGGGAGCGTCCTGTGTGGGTGGGAGTGGACGCGGGTTCTGGGCAGCTCTGTGTGGCAGCACCAGGCGCGTCGCTCGTTGATTCACGCACCCTGCTGGCGGTGTACCGAGCAGCTGGGATCTGCTCGGGAAAGTCTCTGGGTACCACGCATAACTCCTTGAGGTGCTCCCACGATAACAAGGGTGTAGCGAGAGTAGGCTGCACGTCGATCCATCCGTGACACGACCTGTCGCCGTAAGTGATCTCCGCTTGAAAGGAGCCCACAGCGTCCGGCATCTGGGAACCGTCCGCATTGTAGTACAGCAGCTGCGGCGGTGGTCCCAGGTCACGTTTGGTGAGGCCCAGTTTCTGGAGGTGCTTCAACCCAATCACCGTAGTATCGGCGCCGGTGTCCGGTATCACCTCGATGTGACCCGACACATCACCGTGTGTGACGGCGACGCGGATAGTAGGGGAAGGGGTAGCCCTGGGGCGTGTGGTCGATTCCACACTCCTGATGTGACTCCGCTGCTGCTTGGGGCTGCATGGGCCATCTGGAGGGGGCTGCGTGCGAACCACCCCGAGGGAAGTGCGCTGCTGTCCTCCTCGTCTCGGGCTTTTGGGCTTGGGTTGGCGGCAGCACTTGTCGTAGTGTCCATAGCGACCGCAGGCCTGACACTTGTGGCCTCGTGCAGGGCACCTGTCTGTGTTAGACCAGTGGCCCTTACGGTCACATCCACGACACAGTGCGTCGGCGGCCGGGCAAGCCTTGGGGCTGTGCTGCTTTCCACAGCTGCCACAGGAAGCACTAGGCGGAGGCGTGGAAGAACGTGTGGCAGCCTTCGCGTTGTTGGCCGCCTTCTTATCCTTCTTGTAGTGTGAGATAGCTCTCACAGCAGGTGGGGCCCGTAAGGCAGAGGTGGCGGACTTGGTGGCCTCGTATGACCGACATTCAGTCACTGCCACCTGGAGTGTGGAGGAAGCGTCCAGGGGGATGAGTCGCTGCATCAACTCTTCGTGCCTGACACCTGTCAAGATCCCGTGCTTGATCCAGGCTTCCTCACATTCCCGGCTGTGCGCCTTGCAGACGTCGATCTCCTCTGACAAACTCTTCAAGCGTACAAAAAAGTCGTCAAAGGATTCGTTCTCCGCCTGCTTGCAGCTGGTGAAGGCATGGTGACGCAAAGCCTCGTTGTTCCGACCCTTAACATGCTCCTGTAAAAGGTCGAGCACATCCGTCACTGAAGATGTAGAATCGGGAGGCACTTGCAACGTGTGCTCCAAAACTCTCTGGGTCTCTAGCGACAAACACATCCGCAGTTGGATGAGCTGTTTGTTTGGAGGCATGCTGTCAAGGTCCACCATCGTGGAGTAATCTGTCCAACGCCGCCTCCACTCACGAAAAAGCTGAAACGTGACGTCTGGTGAGAGGGCGGGTGGGGGTTGAACAGATGCCTTGGGAGCTGTTTGTTTGGAGGCAAGAGTACCTGGAGGACGCTGGTGTGATGGAGGAGGGAGTGTACTGCCGCCTTGAAGCGCGCTACCTGCGAGTGAGGGAGGGTGGGTTAGCGCCAGGGTCGCCAATAGTGCCTCAAAACGCAACTTTTCCTCCTCTCTTCGTGTCTCCTCCCTCTGAAGTTCCATCTCTCTGCGTCTCTCGTCCCGGTCGTCCATCCACCTCAGAATTGTGGCAATGTCCGTCACAGGAAGTGGAGGATGAGAGTCTGCGCCTGGTGGAGGGGAAGGTGGTGGGGAGTCGTGTCTCCCATCTTGACGTTGTCCCTTCTTACCTCCCATCTTTGTGTGTGCGTGGACTGCACTGTTTAGTATATAAAGTGGCGCCTCAACAGCTCGAACCACATATATATGACATAAACAGCGCAGAAATCACGCATATGGTCCACTGTTCTGTCCGTGAGCGAGTGCGTGCGTGCGTGCGTGTGTGTGTGTGTGTGTGTGTATGTGTGTGTGTGTGTGTGTGTGTGTGTCTGAGAGAGTGGAGCGTGGTGGCCTTAATGCCGGTGGCTGGAGACGCGGCGGGAGTGAGACAGAACGTCAGTGTCTCCCGGGATGTCACACGAGAAGGGTGTACGCCTGCGTGCTCCGTGGGTACCACAAAAAAACGGGCCAATGCTCAACTCTCAGCTCTAGACACACACTAATACACTGACACTAACACTGCCACCGTCACTAAAACGCACTGTGACGGCCCAACACTGCACATCGCGGCGAAACACAGCGCAACACAACACAACACACTATGAGTCGACGCGCATGACGCGCATCACAGGCAGACGTAACTGTCTCGGCACCGTTCACACACTTTGTAAGTCCACAGATCCTAGGCACTGCGCCATGGTTGTTACAAGTTCCCCAAAGAATGCAGTGATGGGTAGGGAAACACTGTGTAACACTGAAGTCCGTTTATTATGGATGATAGAAATACAAGTGGTGACTCGCGTGTGCCATGCACGGCTCACACAGTCAGACTGAGGCTGCCTTGCCATATGGCAGCCTTGGGGCAATGGTGCCACATAACGTGCAGTGTTGCCACGTGATGATATATATAAATGCTACTCGGCACAGTAGCTTATATACAGGGTAGCTACTCGGCACAGTAGCTTATATACATAACCTACACTTACAGTGATTTATTTGCATATATACATATGCATATATTTGCATACACATACCTACATATATATATATATATATATATATATATATATATATATATATATATATATATATATATATATATATATATATATATATATATATATATATATATATATATATATATATATACATAGATCAGATTCATGTGGGTATGAAGTGAACTGCCTCCATTTGGGGCATGAGAGAGTGGTAGTGAGTGAGCCTTGTTTACTGAATCAGCTGACCCTGGCTCGATCCCTGTGATAGATCCAACATGGTAGATCACTTGGTGAATAATTTGATGATTAACTTAGTGTTATTCATTGAGGTGTATTTATATAAAGCAAGGGTGCTGTTAGATCTGGATGGAAATTGTTTTTTGAATCCAGCCAGCAGTTCACACCTCTATAGACTGCTTAGTCAACGGGAAAGGCCAAAAGGTAGCAGTATGGGTGAAGAAAAATAATTGGTCAAATGCACTCACTGTGAGTGCATTATTTTTTTGCTCCTGTGAGAACTTTTATCTTTGAACAAAATTGTAAAATAAACTTATATTTTGTTCTTACCTATTTTGTACTCACTAATTTACTATTCAGCGCCGAGACCTTTCAGCGCCTGTGCGTTCCGTTCAACTCAGAAGCTATCTGTCTTTCATTAACGTGGTATAACACTGTATACTACACTTGATTTATATTATGTTGTATTCAACTTATTAATAGGTTAGGTTAGGTTAGGTTAGGTTATTGATTTGGTGGCGCTGAAACGGTGGCGCTGAATAGTCTGGCACTGAAATGGGCTGGCGCTGAAACGGCGGTGCTGAAACATCGGCGCTGGAATGGCGGCGCTGAATCGTACCCTACCCGTAATTCAATGATGAACTTTTCTTGAGTCGTTCTTGTCATAATCAATTTCATTGTTGTTATTTTCCTATTTAATACCCGTTTGACTGTTGTATTTTCTTAGAAGAATTGTGTTAAAACGAAATTTTCTTTTCAATAGTTTATTAATTATGAGTTTTATAAGTAATTCATTGCATAATCTTATTATTGGTGTTTATAACACATTTCTTATATCAAATCTATACATAAATTAATAACTTTTCATTGAAAAAAATGCCTGGAGACCATTTCACACAATTTCAGTTAAAAGTATGTGTGAAAATCATTTAGGCAGACAATGGTTTACAAGGAAAAGTTGGGTAGATGCTTATATAAGTTTTGAATACAGTATATGCTACCTTCTCTCCCTTCTCTTTTGTTCTCATTCGGTCTGTTTCCTTTTTCCTGCTCCAGAAGTTACTCATGTTGCTACAGCAGTGGAGTAAAACCGTTTCTTCAACTCTTTACAGTGTGTTCAGGTGACAGTAAACAAACTAACATAACAAAACGGGTCTCTTACGGGTCCAATGAGGGAATAAGTGTCGGTATAAGAGGCAATTATATCAGTTATAGCATAGCAAGTTTATTATCAAGCTCTGAACACAAAGATAAACATTATTAATATATCTAGATAAGGAAATAAACAAGACAATACACTTCAAGAGTAGGCAGATGCCAGATGTACATGCTAATGACACAAGTCTCAAGTTAAATTAGATTTTACTAATATTCTTCATCATTACTTAAAATGTGCATAATCAAGAAAATAAAGATTGTGGCAGAATTCAAATAACCTCAAAAAAACATTTCACAAGCAAAGCATGTTTTCTAGTTGCATGTCAAAACAGAAGTTTCGTCGATGATCGCCAAAAACATTTGAGGGTGTTTTTGTCGCATAGGTCATGGTGGCGTCCGTCAGGTCTGGCTGCCGTTGTGGACTAGCCGTAAGTCTGTATTAACCGGCAACAGACATCACTGCCGAAGCATAATCCGCCATGTACTGTATTTACGTAATTACAATCACTTAAACAGATCCCGCCGAGTTGTGAGCAGCGTCTATCTCTGCTTCCTGTGGGAGACGAAAGGAGGGCGTTAGAAGTAGATAGGAAAACCACTAACCCAGTTATTTCACTTTTGTCGTGGGAGAATATGGGTGAGGGGAGAAAGAAGCCACGTTTAAAACATCTCCTTGTTGATACTTCGTGCGAGGATGTTCATGTAACACTGGTACACGGTACTAAGGTGTTCATGTAACACTGGTACACGGCACTAAGGTGCTCATGTAACACTGGTACACGGTACTAAGGTGTTCATGTAACACCGGTACACGGTACTAAGGTGTTCATGTAACACTGGTACACGGCACTAAGGTGCTCATGTAACACTGGTACACGGTACTAAGGTGTTCATGTAACACCGGTACACGGTACTAAGGTGTTCATGTAACACTGGTACACGGCACTAAGGTGTTCATGTAACACTGGTACACGGTACTAAGGTGTTCATGTAACACTGGTACACGGTACTAAGGTGTTCATGCAACACTGGTACACTATACTATGGTGTTCATGTAACACTGGTACATGGCACTAAGGTGTTCATTTAACACTGGTACACGGTACTAAGGTGTTCATGTAACACTGGTATACGGTACATAAGTGTTCATGTAACACTGCACATTTATACTAAGGTGTTCATGTAACACTGGTATACGGTACTAAGGTACCATTTAACACTGGTACATGGTACTAGTGTTCTATGTAACACTGGTATACGGTATTGTTATATATATATATATATATATATATATATATATATATATATATATATATATATATATATATATATATATGTATATATATATATATATATATATTGTTAAGTATATTATGGTTGTTCTAGATTTCTTCACGTAGAACTGAGAATTTATTTGAATATTAAATCCTTATATATTGTTAAAACTCAATATACTAGATTTGGAGTCAAATAGATTATAAATTTAAGAAAAAAACATCACAAATATATGACAAGGACTTCAAAATGTATATTAATTATGTATGTGTGTATGTTTGCATGTATGTATGAACAGGTATGTATGTATGTATGTATATCTATATATGTGTATGTATATATGTATATGTATGTATATGTATGTATGTATGTATGTATGTATGCATGCCGTATACATAACCACAAGGAAAGAAGAAAACACGAAGTTCCCACGCGCTTTCGTGTAATTCACATCTTCAGGGGTGAGTACAGGCTAAGAAGAAATACAAAACAAGGTATATATATACAGAGGAGGGTGAGATTAAGTCCACAATGGTCAGGTATTAGGTAATGACCCTACTAATCCTCAAAAAGCACCACAGGAGTTTGTAGTCAGGTCAGAGGGTAAGCTGACCCAACCTTCTCAACTGGTTACAAATCTTCTTAATTACGAAATTATCTAGTTTGTATATCCCATTACTCAAATTCATTTTGACAGATTCGGTATGTTTAATGAGACTAGATTCTATAATGTTCATTCTGTCAATTGAATTACAAGGTAATATTGAGGAGGCATTATCCCAGTCAATGCAATGCTTATTATCCCTCAAATGAACAAACAGGGCATTGGATAATGTCATGGGTTGCGTTGGGCCTCCTGCACAACCCATCCCAAATGTTTGTTTACGGTAGAGATAAGGTAACCGGCCAGCCATAACTGGGACATGTTTTCAATTAGTGGCATGTTAGCCAGCCGATAGGGGGGCAGGCTAGTGAGACAGTGGTGTACTGTTCATCACTTCACGCCTCAAAAAAAAACAATTTAGCCAGTGGGCTTTAGACCTTGGGTTAGAGAAGACCTCCTGCTCCGCGGACTTAAGAACATGGACCATACAGTCCTACCAGTGCTACGAGTCTGTGTGTGCAAATCCCCGAGATTTTTGTTAAGTCCAGCGACAAGTTAACACATCCTGTAAAGGAAGTGATCAATGGTGAGGGCCTGTTTGCTACAAGAGCACTCCAGGCCGGCCTAATAGATCTAAAACAATTAATTCTCCAGGTTCACAAACTCTCCCTTATAACTTACGGTACTGTGGCGTGAATGTGAGTGACTGACCTATCCATGCAAATTATAAGTCCAGTGTATGGAATTGTGCCAAATAAACGTAAGTGCAATCATCTGCCCGTATCTGTGATCCCTCTATTATTATTATTACCAAGGGTACTGACTGATTGGTTATGACAAAGTATAGCCAATAACTTAGATGGATGTTGGAAGTTAGTGGAATTCATTAAATCATCATTTATCAAGTACACAACGCATTGAATGCCGGAAGCAGAGCTAAATTCTACGTAGTGATACACCATAATCTCTTGGGTGAATAACCAGTGTGAAGGTATCCGAGTTCTACCGTAAGAAAACCACTTTCCTGTATGTAAAACGCAACAGATTCCTGGCCTGTTAGGACAGGCCAGGAATCCAATTACACGAAAGTGCTTGGGAACTTCGTGCTTTCTTCTTTCCTTGTGGTTATCAGCATATACCTGGATCACGCACACCCACAGTGACTTACCTGCATATGTATGTATGTATGTATGTATTTATGTACAGGGGTATTTATGTATGTATGTATGTATGTATGTATGTATGCATTTAAAACTTTGCATTTTCGGAAAACCGTTATTAAAAACAAACTCGTAATAACATTATGTCAGTCTTAATGCAATATCTAAGTATCGGAAGAGGAGTTCAATACATTTTCTTGCAATGTGTGAAAGAGATTACTTTAAAATTAATTAAAAAAAGATGAAAGAATAAAATTTGGAAAATTTCGTAGTGAGAAAGGTTTGCTTAAAACTGATATTAAGAACAAGTTTCTCTTCCTTTATCATTTATATCATCATAATTTTTGTCAATCTTCAAGCATCATGATGACTCACCAAACTCTAGACGTCTAGAGTGACTCATCAACACTGAAATGACGTATCAAGCACAAGGGTGCCTTGCCAAGCACCTGGGTAACTCAGCAAACACTACACTAAGATAAAATATAATTATGGTGACTTACCATTGACAACTGAAACGGCCAAGATCACCAGCACCAGCAGGAATACGATGCTCTTGGTATTCATTGTTCACCAGCCTGTTGGGAGGAAACTTTCACTCACAGAACACGATGTACATTCGTCTGACCTGTATAACGAGCTTTTATATTTTAACTGTACAAAAAAAACGTCTAGTGGAGGACTTTTCTTATTACTAAGGTCAAGAGAACCCCATTTTGGGATTCTAGTGAGGAGGGTGGTAGAAATGGCGAGGAAAGTATAGGGATCGAAATTGCATATTGTAGTATGTTGGTATATATTTAAATTTCATCGTCTCTCGCTTTTCTTTGTTTCATATTTGGCATGACTTATTATTTTATTTACCCCTTGTGTATATATATACACACACATATATATATATATATATATATATATATATATATATATATATATATATATATATATATATATATATATATATATATATATATATATATATATATATATATATATATATATATATATATATATATATATATATATATATATATATATATATATATATATCATCTTAACTATGATTCAGTGCCGACTCTAAAGGTGTTGCACAAGGAATATAAATGAAGACTTTAATTACATTACTCTGTGTTTGATTCACTATTAATTTATTTCATCTACTAGATAATTATATATATATATATATATATATATAAAACAAAGAAGTATGTGTGTTTGTGTCCGCACGTGAATCTCGGAACCTACTGTACTTTACCGATCTGTTATATGTAGTGATGATGGGTGG